ATGTGTATAATTTCCTCACTCATTTAGAGAATATTTTAGGACCTATAATAGTCCAGATACTACATAAAATAGCACAAAAATAAAGACCAATAAACATTCTCTGCCCTCAAAAAACTTTACATTCTGCAGAAAAGTACCACTAACGACTTCAAACTATTTTAAAACAAAGTTTAATCTTAAAAACTGAATATGGGAGATGTAAGTAGGAGGACTGCTAGAGCCCAGAAGTTTGAGACCAGCCTGGGGAATACAGCCAAGTTCCACCTCAATAATACGTTTTTTCTTAATAAATATTTTTGAAAGGAATACACCTTTTCATATCATACCGAGGAGAAAGAGGTGAGAATTATGACGTTTTTAAAAATCATTTAACTGAAGGACTCTATAATTACTGCTAACCATGTAGCAGTCTTGAGATCCTGAAACATTCAAGACAGATGTGATTGTACCATCTCTACCATTTGAAAGGTCAGCAAGCATTACAGTGTTCCTGTGATATTTCTATGCAAACATCATACTATACTCCAAAACTGCTTCCAAATTTTTTCACTTCAAGGTCCATTTCTAGATCTTTCATCTTCCACAGAATATCTAAGACAAAGACATGCAGAGTGCTATCCCATTAACACTACTAAAAACTAGCGCTAAACGGTAAGATATTATTTGTAGAGATAGCACCTTAGAGAAGAACACATGAAGACATGGCAATTTAGTGAAATCAGATGAGAATGACATTAGAAATAAACCTCAGCAAAGTAATGTGGCTCTGACACAACTTAAAGATTACATATATTCTACAAAACCTATAAGTTTGACTCTGACATAGAAGTGGGAAGATGGGAGGAAAAAAAAAAGTGCAGTTATAAGGCAACCTGGCTGGGAAACATGACCTCAAATAACTTTTAAATTCTAACTTTTGGGCCAGGCTGGTCACACCTGTTGAGGCAGGAGAATCATTGAGTTTGAGGCCAGCTTGGGCTAAAAAGTAAGTTCAAGACCATCCTAAATTACATGGCTCAAAAAGAAAAAAAAAAAAAATGTTTTTCCTAACTTTTGGATTAACATATCTTAGAGTGAAAAAACCCATAGCCTTCAATATATGCTAAATATATTTCCTACATTTATTCTATGGGGTAAAGAATATCATAATCTGAAAACATTAATTCGTCTACCACTATCTAAAAGTGACTTTTTCCTCATTTTCATAACATGGTAAATTAAAGATAAATCTACTTTTAAAAAAAATTTTTAATCATTTATTCATTTATTTGGTACAGGGTCTCACTATGCAGCTTGGACTTGCAGTGATCCTCTTGTCTCTGCCTCCCCAGTGTGGAGTTACAGACATGTACCAACACGCTCGCTTTAAGTGCTAGCACGGGACGCTTGGGATTGGCACTGCATGCAGTATGGGGATCAAACCTGGATCCTTATGCTTGCCAGGCAGGCGACCACTCAGCCCAAAAACCTACTTTTAACTGAATTAGCAACTCAAGCCTTTCAGGTTACATGTACATAAATGTTATGCAATAGCCAGAATTTATCATTTCCTTCCTTTCCAATACTACTTTTCCTCAAGATTGGTTTGTTACAAGATTTCTCCATATTGCTCTACACAAATCTAACAATGAAGAAAAAGAACAATATGCAGAAAGAATACTCATCATGCTACAAGTACAAAGTAAATGTCTCATTTGGGGTCAATATGAAAATACGATATTAAACACCACTTTAAAGCACACCTTTTTTAGGGAAATTATAAACATTTTATAGCCTGATTACATTATCTATATATGATTATGCTCCGAAACTGACACCTGTCTATATAGTAGAAAAGGAAAGACAATTTACTTCATCATTACAAGCCATTCATGTCACAGAATACAACTAATATCTAAAATAAAGCTAATACCAATGTATATTAAGGTAGAAAAAAAGAAATACTTAACCACAATGCCTATGCAAAAGTTACATCTGTGAAAAACATAGAGATAGATCTATATCCTTCCAGACTGACCTGGATTACAGATGATTCAGTTTACATTACTTTTTACATTCACAGCAGTATGGACAGACTACTCTGATCAGGTCGGTACTGAAAGAAAAGGGTGGGGTGCTAAAGTTTAGGTACCCTTACTACAACTGCCTTTCTGGCTTTTCCTGAAGACAAGGAAAGGTAAATGTGCTCCACAGCATGTAAGTACCAATTTTAAAATGGTTTACAGGTACTAACTGGGCTACTCATTTTAGTACACCTGAAAATTACCCATGACAGAATCAGGTAAAAACAGTTTTATATGACTATTATTATTTTTTGTGTCATAAAACAGGCTTAAGTGTTCACTGTACAAAGATTCTTTTCTCATTGAAATACTACACACAATTTAGGGCTGGGGAGATGGCTCAGTAGAATAAGTGCTTGCCTGGCAAGCACAAGGGCCTGAGTTCAACCCCGGTTCTGCCAAAAAAAAAAAAAAAAAAAAAAAGCACACTACACACAATAATTTAAGTTCATATAAATTGTTTATATGTGAACAAATTAAATCAGTGCTACATTTCAAAATGGAATTTTGTGTTTTTAAGGGCTTTTTGGTAGGATTGGGGATTGAATCCAGTGCCTTTGCACTAAGCTACATTACTAAGACTTTTTTTTTTCCTTTAATTTTGATTCAGCATCTCACTAAATTATCTTGGATCCTCCTGCCTCTGTATCTCAGAGTATTAGGATTACAAATGTGCGCCACTATGCCTGACTTAATACTGAAATTTTATACCTATGTTTCTCCTAGTGGAAAACTCAGAATGATTAGTAAAGCATTAGCTAGTATTTATTGAGCAGAATACCATACTGTGATGAATTCTTTGTATGTATTACCTCATTAAATCCTTAATAATCTTAAAAGGCAGGGACTCTATTTTTCTATAAATTGAAGAGATATAGATAATTTACTTAAGGAGTGGCAGAGGTAGGTTTGAACCCAGAACCTAGAACCAAGGTAACTGGGAGGAGAGGGAAGTGGGTAAGGAAAATCACAGAAACATTAACTGCCAGTGTAGAAAGGCATGTTGTTTACTAGTAGTAAATAGCTCCTCCTCCTATCCTGTAAGAGCCTTTTTCAAGCCTGACTACACATTAGAATCACCTGTGGGATGTATGCTGAATGATTTGGGAGTAGAACCCTCACTCAAAAAACTTGGCCTTCAATTGGGCTGAGGAGGGTCAAAGACACGGACATTTTTTTTTTAAGTTCCCAGATGGTTCTAATAGGCTGATACGATTCAAAACCACTAGTAATGTCATTCTTCATCACTCTGTTAACCTAAAGTAGTCAACTGCAAGCACCTTACCACCTACTTGTTTCTTAGCACTTTGACTGTATTTTCCATTTATGCAACCAACTGCTTAACTTTCTTCTCCAAAACAGGTAATACGACAACTACAGTTGAATCTATTGACTTTACTTATTTTTGTGGTGCTAATAAACAAGCCCAGGGCCTGCTAAGCGAGCTACTGAGCTACATCACCAGCCCTAGTTTGAACCTTTGAAAATAAAATTTTTCTTTGACATAGTAATGTAAGAGAAAGGAGAGGTAGGATGAAAAGTGCAAATTCCTTCTTTAAGTACCTACATACTCCTCAGTTTTTTTAAAAAAAAGTCCTGACTCAAACCAAATTAAATGACAACTTATGCCACTAAAAACGTTGTGACATGTATTAAAAACACTGATATTTGTTTATATTTCTTAATTAGGATAGTGATGACACTCAAAACACTTAACAGTTATTGTGGTAACAGATTCCACTGTCTTGTCACTGCTGTGACAGTGATTATACAATGTTTTTACCCTGTTAAATCACCTGAATGCTGTTTAAACTAACACATGCTAAAGAAATCAAAGCATTACATAAGCATGTCCGAACAACAATATGGCTGGTCATAGAATGTACTAAGAAATGCAAGGATTCTGCTGACTATCTTATATGAGAAATCGTTTACTGTTTTCACTAACATATTCACAGCACAAGCCACTCTGTCCCAAAATATAATGACTGTTTCAGACTCTCTCAGACTTGCTGGCGCTTTTACTACTCATAAGGCGAAGTACAGAGGTATACAAGTAAGTTAGATCTATGATTCAAACAAGAAACCTAAAATGAAAGGGTAAGTTATACAAAACTTTGGACTTCTCTGAGAGACATTACAAAACTTCCTGCTTTCGGACAGCTTATTATTCGGTGCAAGTCTTCATGTTCCTTATTAGTCATGACCTTTCAAAAAGCTTTCATTTATTATTGTTTGCATTACACTGGACTTCTGATGTTGCTTGGAGAAATAGAGGAACACTTATCAAACGAAAAAGCCAACAGAGAATTCATGCCACAAGAACGGACCTAAATTATAGTGACTGTCGATTTTTTAAAAATTCAACATTAGGCATATGTATCTTTGTGACCATCTTAAATTTAAGTTCATCTGTATACTTCCATCATATACAATCACAGGAACTTAGGTTAGTTCCGCAGATATTAACTGTTGAGAAACTGGGAACATCTGCGGGTGGGTGTGAAAGGCACAGACCACGACAGTGAACCACACTACTGGCTGTCACTGGGGTCTTGCCCTTTCCAGGCCAGGTCTGCGCTCTGTCACTTGGCTCCAAGGCAGAGAACCACAGGGTAACCCGACGGGAAATAGGGGGGTACGGGTGAGGGGGTTGGGAACCTCATGAGTAAGTGCACTTCCAACATGAAGCTGAAGGGCAGACCCAAAGTAAACCTGACCTCCTGGAATCCCACGCATCGCCCAGGACCGTGGGGCGGGGGGACCTGGGGAAGGGTCGGTCCCCATTGGGAGACCTGCAGAGTGGAAAAGAGGCGAGCTCTCAGCTCCCAGCGGGTGACCCAATCGCCCCAAAGGCCTGGACCCAGGCCGACCGCGGAGGAGCGCCCTCCCGCCGGGCCCGCACCCCACGCCCGCCCTCCTCGGGGCCTGCCTTACACGGTGACGTGACCCGAGCCGCGGACCACCACCGGGTCCGGCGAGTACTTGAGCAGCTGTTCCTCCAGGGCCCGTTCCTCGTCCTCCTCCTCCTCGTAGATTTCGTCGAAATCCGCCATCCTGCGCCCGCAGCCCCCGGCCCGGGCCTGACTCCAAGGGCTGGCGCCGGGCACCGGCTCGGCGAGCAGCGGCGGCTCCGAGGCCGCGGAGTTCGCCCCCGGCTGGCTCGGCTGCCCCGGCTCCTTCGGCTCGGGCTACTGAGGAGCGGGGACCCGGCTTGCCGCCGCCGCCGCCGCCGCCATTACCATCGGCAATAACAACAACACAATGTCAACATCCGCCCAGGGGCCGACACCTCCACCAGCGCCACAGACGCCGCAGCAACTCAGGCAACCACAGCAACACCCGGAGCCACCCGCTTCGGGAGCAGCCGGCTAGGGCATCGCGAGACTTCCCGGGCGGGCGGGCACGAGCGTGGGAGGGCGAGCGGCCGCGCACGCGCACGTGCTCCCGCGCGCTCCCGGGCC